GCCGTCTCCAGCCATTATTAACTATAATTTCATAATTTTTGCAGTTATTTTCATGTTGTGATGCACATATTAATTCCATTTTTATACAATATTTTTCTAGATCCGAACTCTCTTTCATCCCGTCAGTTGATGGAAGTGGTTCGAGTCCTCTGCAACAAAGCTGTTCAAAGTATCCAGCATGCAGAACCTGCCGCTCAGATGTGTTTCACCATAATTGAAGTAAGTGTGGCTGGTGTGGTTATCTGCAAAATCATATTTCTACAGTACTGACAGAAATTATTCTCGCTCTATACCCAAAACAGAAACGAAAGATAATATATTACTTGTGTTTCAAGCTATAACTTCCAATATGTGTGTGTGTGTGTGTGTCCTCGCAGCTAGTTAGACCCATGACAATACCATCATAATTTAAGTTATGCTGTACCCATAAACCAACCACAATCTATTCCATTCGTCTTAGAAACTAAAACTCACACTGAATCATTGAAGGAAATTAAAACCTGCTACGAACTTGAACGAAAATAAAATTACTGCACTCGTGTAGAAACAAATATACCATACAGTACTGAGCAAAATATGTATCGCTGAATCTATATTGCATCGGAAGAAATCTAAACTACTGTTGAGCGAAATAAAACCTACGTACTGTGATAGTAATACAAAAACATTACGTCAGTGAACGGAATACAAAATACTGCACTCATAAGCGAAACAAAATAAATCTAAGGTGATGACATCACGATTGTGGTCGTAACGAAAACCCACAGTATCAAAATATGCTGCACCTCTAAAGAAACAGAAGATAAGTTTGTGTGTTAAAATTTATGTAGAGATAAAATCCATACGTTTATTTTCATTACAAAATATTCGAGCCTTTTCAGGTATTGTACGGTCCATGTTTGTAAATGAACGTCATATACTCGTTCTAAGTAAGTTATTTAGTTCAATTTGCAAAACTTGTGATTTTCTCATAACAAAACCATTGTTTCAGTTTTTGGCTTGTCAGTTATTCTTAAATCTTTTAGCATCCAAAATAAACAAGTTTTCGTCCGAGGAAATGTTAAAATATTGACTTACCAGTTCAGTTTTAATAACTGTCATTTAATTGCAAAAGTACACTTATACGAAATTATTAGGCTAATTATGCTCAACCGCAGGATATGACGTAGTTCTTGGCTTTTTTCCAAATTGTGCAGTAAAAAAAAAACAATCAAAACATTCCCTAAAAGATATATACTTCAGTTATAGAATGTTTTAACGCTAGTGTGATCTAATTCCTTTACACTGATGTGGAACCATATTAGTATAGAACTATGAAACCAGAAATATTGGTGAAAACAAAACTGTAAGGTTCCATATATTGCCCTCAAATATTTTGAAGCGTGTATACATACATTCGTGACAATATTTTTGTTTCAAGTTCTGATTAAGTAACGAACTACTTTTTTCCCATTTAAAGTATACTATATGCTGTCTTTTACAACTGGGATATATATATATATACACACACTTACTATTACGAATATAAAGAACGTGTAAAGCATGCAACAAGGATACGTATTTAGTATTCAAAGTATAATCAGTTGGTGATGGAATTAGAAGGACATATTTCAGAACGATTTATAAAATGAACTAGACCCTCTCAGTGACGTAGAAGCAACCCCCACCGCACAAACACACACCGTAATGGGTGCATTTCATGTGCGAGAAAGAAGAAAATGGAGTACCCCAGAATGTTACCAAAGTTGGTTATAAGACCAAAAACTATTACACAACCGAACCGGAGCTATGCTTCCAACGTCTTCTGAAGACACCTTTTATAATTTGTGTCAACGCCAATTATGAATAATACTGGACAAGTTAAGTGAACTTGTAAAACATCAACCAAAGTTTCATACCTTAAAGTTGAGCCAACTACCCGTATTGAGATTACGCCAAAAGACGACAAATCAGCTTCTATGTCAAAGTTTATTATCAAGACAAAATAATTTCCAAATAACTTGAGCAAAAAAAAAAACAATATTTTAATAAATATCTTAATAATAAACTAATTCTGAAAAGCTATAATTATAGTTAGTTGTTTAGTGATTGATTATTTGAAGTATGAACGTTTATCATAAGAATATGTAAAATTACGCTTTGTATAACAACTATGGAGTTGAATATCCAGATGGAAATAATGTGCACCAAAACATATGATTCTGATGTTAGAAATTCAAAAAAATGTCTAAAGTAAGTATAAAAATTTGATTTTACTGAGCACTGTTGCATATGGTTTGATGATTACCAGTTTTGGGTAAATATATATCTAAATCTAATTGGTTTTGTATTTATTAACACGCTTTTGCATAATTAAGAATAATAAGTTGATTCTGCGCAGAAAGACAACAGTGAAACATTTCTGGAAAGTCTTCTCAACTCTTGCCGGGAGTGGTACAATGAACGAGACAAGCTCTTACGATCACCTCTGACGTCATGTCATGGAGGACTGGATGGTACAGGAGGAACCTTCCGCCGATGGACTGCTTACATCTTCTTCCTCACGGAACTCTTCCTTCGCTTCAAAAGTCGACACCGAAACGTTATCATGACTATGTCGGCACAAGGGGGTGCCCTTAGCAATTCTCCAACCCCCACGCCAGCTGTAGAAGATCGGTCACTGTCGTTGATGATGCTAATTTATGAATGCTGCGAAATAATTCTGAAACCACCATCTTTAAACTGTGTGGCTGAGGTAGGAAACACTTTTTATTATCTGTTATATAAATCAATTCAACATTTTTCCGGAATGCCTGGTAAAAAGCTTTATTTTAAAATGTGAGAAGGCAAGATGCATTTATTTCCGTGGAAACAAGCTGCGCAGAATGTAGTATTAATTGTCTTATTTTGAGCTACCCTTCTGCATTTAACGAAACGTGTGATTTATAGTAAAATTATTTACAAAAAGGTTTAGCTAATTTAATTTTCAATCATCCCAAGAATACAATAGTGACACACAGGAGAGAAAGTGTATACAAAGTTTCACTTCCCAAGACGTGGGACTGTGGCTGACTGGGCGTTGCGGTACTACGGTACTCCAAGACACACTTGGCCAAAAGATTAGTTAGTTAACAACATAATAATAAATAATGAAGAACTAGTATACAGTATGTGAATAAGTCAAACACGATCAAAAGAAATAGCCACAGTTGTTTCGATTTTCAAACAAAAATAACATTTTATTTGATGCAAAGCAACAATAACAACAAAACTGAACCTAATATCACCCATGTCTGAGCTTCTACGTCTTCACGTAATAGCATCTATATATTCAACTGGCTAGCTAACAAGCTCAGTATATAAACATCGGGTAGATTGCTTATGGTCACAGTCAATTCTGGACAAGAATTAGCTTTGCTTGGAACTACATTCAAGTTAAAAACATCTGCTAGGAATCCCCAGAATACTATACCACCCGTGTCAGAAGACTATTCTAATTATCAAAAAGTTAAGCCAAAGTTTCCACCATCTCTATCTCTGCATACATTTAGTACGCCGAATATATATGTTTAGTATACCAAACGTTGTTGAACGTATTCAAGGACTTGCCTGACCATATACAGACACAGAACATATAAAAATCCTATAAATCTAAATAATAATTTTTATTTCACTTGTATAAATGCATGTACAATTTTTATTTCGTCTTTACATTCGAAACCTGATTTTGCTTCGTTGACCTACTCTTAGATTTTACACATATATACTTTTACGTTTTCGAAGTTTAGTACTACATTTTACACACATGCAGCTTCCAGGCATGGCATGGCATGGCCTGGTGTTGGCCATTCGACTCGCAATCTGCGGGTCAAAGGTTCTAACCTCGTCACCGAAAATGTCGGTTCCCCTGTTTGTTGATAAAGGATAGCTCAAGAGTTGGCAGTGGGTAGTGTTGATTAGCTGCCTTCCCTCTCTCTCTCTAGCGTAGGTAGTCCTCTAGTAACTTTGCGTGAAATTCAGTAAAACAAACAATACAGTTCCCCAGTTTTATATATATTTAGGTTTTATGGAAATGTATATCTATTTGTCTGGACGAAGTCACCACTCGAAGACTTTTAAGATTATTAGTGTTAGGCAATACCGCTTGCATTTGTCAGAAAGCAAATTGATTATTAGTTGCAGCTTTTATAAGTTGCATAGATATGAAGAGCGAATTAGACTTTCAAGTAATTTTTATCTTCACCAAATATACACGACGAGTAATTGCTCTGATAGTTACTTTTGATTTTATATGCACTTGCATACTAAGAACATAAACCTTTGCACTTTCATTGTATACATTTTTAGGCTTTTAGTTTACAACCTTTACACTTTAAACAGATAAGCATGTACGTTTTTCATTCTCGTATACTTAAACTATAAGTATATAAGTGGAAAACCCACTCACTTTGTAGAGTGTAAAAATAATATGATTACAGAATGAATTTCAGAGAAATTAGGTCCTTCTACTGTAATTCTCGTAAACTGAATCTTGTTATAGTTACTAACTGCAGTATAATGCTTTAATAAATAGAGATCAAACTAAGGCAAGTGTTAAGAACATTTGTAAGCATGCTATCTTCTGTATTATTGCCCCTTATGGGTGGAAAAGCCCGTTACAGCCAGCATCAGGAGAAAATTACGTGCCCATAATTAAGTGGAACAGTGGCTCTGCTACCAAAGTTTGTCACAGCCTAATTTACTTGTTCTTCTGTCTAAAGCACAATTCTTTTACTGGACACTTAGAAGATTGGAGCAGGTTTATCAGAACCGAAGTTGTGGTCTTGTGTTTGAATGCAACAAAAAGTGGAACATGTAAATACACAACAAGTCTCTGTAGATATCTGTCAATATTCACCGTAAAAGTTCACCTGAGTACTTGGAAAATAATAATTACAAATTTCTCACTCGACTCGCAATCTACAGGTTGCAGGTTCGAATCCCGTCACCGAACATGCTCGCCCTTTCAGCCATGAGCACATTATAATGTGACGGTTAATTCCACTGTTCTCTGGTAGAAGAGTAGCCCATACATTGACGGTGATTGGTATTGTTTAACTGTCTTCCCTCTACTCAATCACATCAAAATTTGAGAACGACCAGTATAGATAGTCCTCGAATAGTATTGCTCGAAATTCGACAAACAAACACATACAAATTCCTTTCATCTTAAAGGTGTATTAGATGGCTTAAAAATCATTAACATTTGCACAAACATTAGAAATTTAAGGTTACATATAATGAGCTCAGCTGTTTTAGCTGGTGTAATCCATTAGCTAACACAAAACATTTTACATTTAATAGCTACAAAAGAAAAGGTCATTGGTCCCTTTTGATATTCAGAATTTGCAGCTATGCTACCTTCCGATCTCTCACCACCATTTCTTATTATATAAACCTAGTGAAACTCAAGATATCCGAATCAAAGAAGTACTGCTTCACTTCTCTAGACATCTCAGAAAGTAAGGATTACTAGGTCTTGTCAAATATTTCTAAACAGTTTTAAGTTCAGTCATGTATATTCAGGGCCAATACTGATACAGAAGACACTTTCCAAACTGTTACTGGCTCTTCCTCTTCTGATAAAATCAATAGCTTTCAGAGAGTTACTTCAGACATCATATTCATCAACAGCCAGGGTAAGGTTATATGAAATAGTGCTCTCTCTGTTCCCTAACTCACAATTCTTCTCAACGTCAGATTCCTTGTCCAACCATTGCATTAGCGGTTTGTCAGTAACATGTAGTTTGCTATAGTTTGTCAGTGTGTTCAGCACACGTCTGTGCATCACATTATTACTACAGGTTACACTTTAATGGATTAGGAATTCAAAGTATGAGATAATGACACGTCTAGCTAGAACTATGTTGCTTCTGTATGGCATGTGTTTACCAAAGCCAAATCCAGTTTTCAGGCCCAATTTATGTTTAATCATTTCCTGACATAAAATTAATGCTCACCAACTAATGCAAATATTAACCATTCTACATACTCCTCTGGGCATTGTGGAACGTTTACAATGGAAGGTGGACAATAAATCAGATCCATTGAGAGCTGAACTTCAAGTCCATTTAATAAGTTTGACAAATCATCAGCTGACTATTAACCCATCGTGAGGTGTGGGAGATGTTCATCCACATCTCTTTCGTCGGGATTTATAAACTTTGAAAGCATATGTTTAACAGTCTGTAAAACATGATCAGCCAAACCATGAGACTGAAATGATATAACACCACAACTCTGTAAACGATTGGCTAATGAAACTTGGTTTTTGATCCATGTGGATTTCTCCAGGTGCTCCGAAGCTTGCTGTCTCCCTTTTCAGCTAACTTATGTGCAATAATGTCAATCAAAAGATCAGCTTCAGCCTATTTGGAACGGACCTGATGATGCCTTTACTGGCGAGACCGTGTATTTGTGAAACGTAAAATTGTCTTTTTTTTCTTCAATTCTGTAAGAGTAATTAAGCTTGAAAATTTAGGATAGAACTATATTAAATTGATATATTCTCAGTTCATTATAATTTCTCTGAAAGATATTCAGAAACATTCACATGTTATATTGACACAGTCGTATCTTTTTGTAACACGAATTAAGGATGTTTTTCCTTTATGCCACAAGCAGTTTTTGTTCAAAGCTATTGCAAGGAAAGAATTCATAGTTTTATTATATGGTAATATTACTGCAGTATAAGCCAATGCATTTGCAACAGTTCAAATCCTTAATGAAAAAGGCAATAATTAAGCATTAAAATGTTTTAATAAAGAGCTTAACTACAACATTAGATATTTGAAATAATGTTTCAAACAGCTACGAGTGTACCTATAGAATATAATTGGATATGGAAAATAAAGTTAAGATCGTTTGTATTTTTACAAGTAGATGGCAAAATTCGTTAAAAAAAATCAACTAATCCCATATTTCTGTTGAAAAGGTATAACATGTATAGTATTAGGTCGTCAAGAAATTAATGTCTCGTTTTGGAACACTTTCATTAACCACCCCCAAAACACGTACATCACGTATAATAGTTAAACGAACCGCCTAAACGTCATGTTAGTGTTGCCTATATAATGTGTAAAGTTTAGTATGTTCTAATCTCCTATAGTGATGGCACACGACGACACACACATTCGGCATGTAATGCTGTTTGAATACAAGAAAGGAAACAACGCCTCTGAAGCCACAAAGAAGTTTATGAAAATGTTTTGAACGTTCGTAAATGTCAACGATGGTTCATCAAATTTCGTTCAGGTGACTTTAGCCTTAAAAGCTGTGATGGTAGGGACCGGCATGTTGGAATTGATACTGATGCTCTGAAGACGCTTTTTGAGTCTAATCCAAGGCAACACACTCTTGAAATGGCCCTGAAATT